AAATCGAGTATTATCTATTACGCTAAAATCGAACTTATAATTAGCTAGTATTATAAACTTCTTAAGTATTACGTTATATCTAAACTTAACTATTCTATAATTCTTAGTATTTTATAGATAATCTAGTATATCGTAAAGTCTAATTTTAGAGCTAGATCGATTACCTTCTTATCTAGCTATTACTTATTCTTATACCTTCTTTATAGAACGGATTCTACGGTTTATAGCGCTACTAGTCTAGTATCGCTACTACTAACTACTACTATTAACGGCGTACGTATTACTAGATCGAATATCTCTTAAATCTATAATCTAGTTAAGCGTAATAAGATCGAAGAAGCGGTTCTCTTTTAGCTTAAACTATCGAACGCCCTTATACTATATAAAGACTTATATTTTAACGCTCTATCCTATATCGCTATTAACCTCGCGAACTTTAAGAAATTTATAAACGGTAAAATATATATTAATCCGTCGACTAAGATACTAGAAGAATACTACGAATTTCTTAATATCTTCTTAAAACCGTCTTTAGATACGTTACCTCTCTATCGAGAGGGACTCGATCACGAGATTCGTCTAACTACGGATAACGAATTACTTTATAAGAAGATATATAGTATAATATAGGAAGAACTTACTACTATAAAGAAGTATATCGATAAATATCTAGCTAAGAGATTTATTAGATAATCGATATCTTCTATTACGTCTCTTATACTACTTATAAAGAAATCCGAAGAAGAACTTTATTTCTACGTAGACTATTAAGTAGTTAACGTAATTACTATTAAAAACCGATATTCTATTCTTCGTATTCGTAAAACGTTAGATCGCCTATATAAGGTAAAATACTTTATAAAGTTCGATATTATCGTAGTCTTTAATAGACTACGTATTAAAAAAGGAGACGAATAGAAGACCGCGTTCTTAACTAGATTTAGATAGTTCGAATATCTAGTAATACCCTTCGGTTTATATAACGCCCCTTTCTCCTTTTAGAGCTATATTAATATAGCGCTTTAAGATATTCTAGATAACTTCTATACCGCCTACCTAGACGACGTTCTAATCTTTAGTAATAACTTAAAAGACTACCGATTATACGTTAAAGAAGTCTTATTCCGATTACAAAAGGCTAGTCTATATATAGATATCGAGAAAACCGAGTTCTACGCCTAAGAAGTTAAGTATTTAGGGATAATCGTATCTATAGAAGGACTTCGGATAGATCTAGATAAGATCTAAATAGTAGTAGACTAGACGGTATCTCGAATAGTTAAAGATATTCTTATATTCCTCGGTTTTACTAACTTCTATCGAATATTTATTAAAGATTTTAGACGCGTAGCGTTACTATTAATAAATCTAATAAAGAAAGATTAAAAGTTCGTATAGACTATAGAATATTAGTAGGCCTTCGAAATACTTAAACGTCGGTTTACTACGGCTCCCGTATTAGTATTATTTAACTCTAACGCTAAAATCTAGGTTAAAGTCGATACTTCCGATCTCGTGGTAGTAGGAGTTCTATTATAGAAGAAGAACGAGTAATTAAAGTCTATAGTCTTCTTCTTAAAAAAGATATCTTCCGCCGAGTATAACTACGAGATTTACGATAAAGAGTTACTCGCTATTATTAAAGCCTTCGAGGAATAGCGTTCTAAACTTACTAAAACCGACCCGAAGAAGCCTATTAAGATACTATTCGATTATCGATTCCTTAAATATTTTATAATAACGAAATAACTTAATCGTCGATAAGCTCGATAGAGCGAATTTCTTTCGGAATTCTACTTTTAAATCGAATATCGTCTCGATAAGTAGAGTACGAAACTCGATAGTCTTACGAGACGACTAGACTATAAATCTAGTAACGACGAAGATAAGCGAACTCGATACTAATAATAGATAATATTAAAGCCGTATAATCTAGAAAAAGAAGTCGATATTATAAAGTCCGAAAACCGCCTTTATATACTAACTCTAGCGGAAAATACGCTTCTACTAGACCGTACTATTCTAGAAATAGTCGAAGACCTATATAAGACTAATATCGACGAACTCTTACGAGACCTTATAAGAATACTAAGAGAGAGTATTAATTTATCTATAATAGCGAAATTAAAACTCTTCTAATATTATATTACTCTACTCGATTATTAACTACGGAAAGATAAAGTATAGTATCGCGATAGATTATAGATATTATAAGATAATACTATTCGACTCTTAATATTACGAGTATATTACGATATCTTAGAAGCGGATTATCTTAGTAAATTAAAAACGTATATATCTTTTACGTAAATATACTTCTAGCTAGAAGTATTAGAAGATATTATACGCTATATCCGGAACTATTATACTTATAAATAAGCGAAATCTACTCGTTAACGATATACCGGTACTCTACTTCCGCTCCTAGTATCTAGTAGGTCGTAGACCGAAATCGCTATCGACTTCGTCGTAGACCTATCTTCGAGTAATCTCGATAGAAGAACGTTTAATAATATACTTACGATTATAGATCGACTATTAAAATAGAGGTACTATATATCTTACTAGAAAATAGACGCTATAAATACTATAAAATTATTCTTACGTTACGTCTAGAGTAGATACGGTTTACTAAACTACGTAATATTCGATCGAGAATCTTAATTTACTTTCGTATTCTAGAACTAGCTCTATTAAAGATTATATATTAAAAAGCGAATATCTACTATCTTTTATCTCGAGATAGATAGGTAGTTAGAGAACTCGAACTAAGTTATAGAATAATACTTAAGATACTATTATAATTACCTTTAAATAGATTAGGTCGAGTAGCTATCTATAGCCGAGTTCTCGGTAAATATATATCTTTTAGAAACTACTAAAAGCTTATCTTTCTTCGCTAACTATAGTTTCTACCTAAGGTTAGGCGTCGAACTAAAATAAGATCGATAGTTTATAATATTAAATATATTTCTAGACTCTAAACGAGCCGATACCTTTACTAAATAAATAGTAGAGATTTATAAGTCGCTATAATAAGAGATAACTCTCGCTTAAGCTTACTAAGAGAAGTACGTAAACGTATATAGAAATCTCGTACTAACGTATAAGGTAGAAGACCTCGTTTAGCTAAGTATACGGAATCTTAAGACTACTCGACCCTTTAAGAAACTCGACGTAAAGAACCTAGGACTATTTAAGATAACTAAAGTAGTAAACCGAGTTATATATTAACTATAGTTACTAGATTATATAAAGATATATAATATCTTTTATACCTCTCTACTATATAAGGCGTTATTCGACTCTCTTTCTAGATAAGTTTAGCTATCGCCGCCGCCGATTAAAATCGTTTAAGAAGACGAATATTAAGAATAAGAATAGGAAGTAGAAGACGTTTAGAACTTACGTCTATTCGGTAGAAAGAAACGATTATAGTATCTTATAAAATAGAAAGGCTATACTAAGGACTAGCGAGTATAGAAAGAGATATTATCTAGTTACGATAAGTTAATATAGAAGTTCTATCTTAAATATCTACGGAAACTCGAACTATCTAATAAGTACGACTTTAAGTCTTAAAGCGTTAAGGAATCGAAAAGTATTAAGTTCTAATATAATACGATTAGATATCTATTTACAATTATCTTAATAACGGAAATCTAATCTACTTATAATTAGAAACGGATAGAAGAAGGTAGTACGGCTCTACGATCGCTAATAGACTTTTACTAACTATAACGCCTTTCTAGTTAAGTACTAATAGAGTCGATTTCGATATCGAGAATATTACTCTATATTATTCTAGTTAATAGTAGTAGACCTAGTACGAGATCTATTAATATATCGTATCTACGCCGCCAGGAATCGATACTTCGAGATATTAAGAAGATAGGTTACGAGGGTTCGTAATAGCGTTAGAGGGGGGGTAATATTACGGATTAATATACTAACTTTCTATTACGTGCCGCCACTAGCCTACGTAATATCTATTAATACGTAACTAGTACGTAATTACGACGAAGGCTTAGCACGTCTCGGTTACTAACTACTTACTCGCGCAACCGAGCGCAACCCTCTTTATAGCCCTTCGTCTTAGAATTCATATTATAATATACACATACGTTTGGTTCGTACCTCGTAGCAGTGCTCCGTGATAATATAGCCTCTTTAGTATAATAACGTATTTCCGATATACGCCTAGGTAAACTTCGTATCTATAATAATAGCTTAAGAGAAGAATCGATAGTATACTAACGATATCTTAATAGTAGCTTATTAGCTATATAATTATATTCTTTTAACTTCGGACTAGTCTCGACGACTTCTATTCTTACTAAAGATATAGATATTATAAAATAACGACTTTATTAAGTTAATATTAATAGAGAATATTACTTTATACGTATATTAGATTTATCGATCTTATGAATAACTTTAATAGTTTTTA